GAACGTAGCTGAAACCAGGAGGTCACGAGCAGTGCCTTCACTACGCACAGAATGTTCTGTGTTGTTGTTTTTTAACTGCTTGTCTTGACCTTGTTAAATTGATTTCAGACTCCTTCCTGGGTCTCCTACGATGGGACTCTCCCTCAGGCAGGGCCAGCTGGATGCTTGTGGATCCCCAGGGGCCACGGGCAGGCTCGGCTGGGGAGCAGAGGGCGTGGGTTCTGGAGCTGTCAGCTCTCAAACCCGCAGTTCAGGTGGCCACAGGTTCAGAAGAAGAACCGGAAAAGGCAGGAATCGGACGCCAGAGGGTGGTAGACAAAGTCTTTCCCAACAAGGGTGACGGACAGCAGGATGGGGCAAGAGCAGTGGGCAGCTGCTTTGGGGAAGGCTCTGGAGGCCACCCCTGCAGCTCGTGCCCCGAGCAGTGGGTCTGTCACAGGAAGGCCTCAGGCATCATCTGACTTCCTGCCTCCTGCTCGTTGCCAGGAAAAGGCAGGCTGGCCCTGTGGCAGCCTGTAAGCGTCCCTGGCCCCTATTAATCCCGTGACAACCCTATAAGTTTGGCACTGTTGTCCTCTTGGGTTGCAGCGGAGACACTGAGCTTCAGAGAAGGAAAGCCATCTGCCCGAGGTTGCACAGCCTTCAGGTGACAGAGCCAGGTGCCCCTGCCTCCCTTTCTGGCCAGGCCCCAGCTTCCTGGCAGTCCCTGCAGAGCTTCAGGAAGTGAGGGATGAAGGATGCGCCGTCGCTGGAAAGTGGGGGTGGGCATCGTGCAGGGGTGGCAGCCTGTGCTGCCCACTGAGCCACCTGTCCCGGCAGTTGCGTAGGGTTGGGGAAAGGAGGACACGCGATGCCTAATAAACAACCAGCTTCTCAGTCGGAGCTGGGCTGGGTGGTGGCCCTGGGGTGGGCCCTCCCAGGCACCGGGCTGCAACTGTTTTCCAGTCCCGTCCCTGGCTGGCTCACTCCCATGGACCTCACCCGCCAGGGGTGCTACCCCCTCTCTGTTCTGCACCATCCGCACTCACCGCGGCTCCCGCGGCTCCCATCCAGAAGTTGATTCAGGCTCAAGGTGCCATCTGGGGCGGGGAAGAGCGGGCGGGGGCAGAGAAAGCCTGCCAGTCAGTGGCTGTGGAGGGGGCCCAGCGCTTGCAGGGTTGGGAGTGGACTCCCTCATGTACTTTGGTGTCTCTCGGCGGCCCCATGGCGCATGCCAGCTGGGCTCTTGGGGCTCTTCCTGCTCTTCAGCCTGGGAATCTGAGGTTCCCCTAGCCCCCCACTCTGGGCCATTGGCCCCTTTCGGCAGCCCATGAGCAGAATCCTAAAGGATCCCGAGGCCGGCTCAGTCTGCCCCACGTTCCCTTTGCCTGAACAAGTGACAGATCATGATGCAGCAGTCACTGGGCGCAAGATGGGACACCACTCGCTGTGCCATCCCAGTGGCACTCAGGGGATACACCTCAACACCTGGGTCTGTGCTGAGACGCGGCCAGGGGCAGGCTGGGTGCCCTACAGCTCCCCAGCCCCCTTTCACGCCTGCTCTCTGCGCCGCAGCCGCTCGCAGGCCTCTGACTGTGAGCGTGTTCCTTCTGCCAGGAGTCTGACAAACCTCTCTCTTTAGCATCTGATGTCTACCGTGCTAGGTGCCACCACGAACACCCCAGCCCTGTGCCGGGTCACACTTGGCTGGGTTTCTGACTCTGCTGCCTGGCCCGGATGCTGGCTTTTCTTCCTCAGCACAGAGAACCTGGGTTCAAATCCCAGCTCCACCACTTAGGAAACTCTCCAGCTCTGGGCCTCTAAGATCCTCTAGGTGATTTTTTCTAGAAAGTAGAGCTGCATTAGCTGCCTCGTGGGATTGTCGTGGTGTTGAGTTGACATAGGACGTATCCCGCTCAGCCAGAGTATTCTCCCTATACATTCTCTTTCCCCTCTGTCCTGGGGCCATTTCTAGCCGGTTGTACGTATGTGTTCCTGCTTTCAGTTCTCTGATGACCTCTAGACCCAGGACACCAGCATGCCCCCCACCCCACCGGCCCTCCCACCCCAGGCTCCTTCTGCTTCCCTGTTAGACTGGGGACGTTGCCAGAGCAGGGCCTGTGACCTCGGCACTATCCCTTAACTGTTGGAGGTGTACAAATGATAGCTGAAAATGACTATGGACCTATCTGTAGCACTGGGCCATTCCTGGGGGATGCTCCGCAGCCAACTGGCGCAGCCTGCAGCCTAGAAGAGCCTCTTGGAGACAGAGGTCCAGGAGAGGCGTTGGGGGCTGGGCTGCTGGGGTCCAGGTCCAGAGTGCCTGACACCTCAATAAAATGAAGGGGCGGTCACCCTGACCGGTTTGGCTCAGTGGTTAGAGTATCAGCCCATGGATCCAAGGGACTTGAGTTTGATTCCTGGTCAAGGGCAGGTACCTGGATTGCAGGTTCCATCCCCAGCCCGGGTCAGGGTGTGTGCGTGTGGGAGGCAATCCATGTGTCTCTCTCACATCGATGTTTCTCTCTCTCTCCCTCCCTTCCACTCTCTCTAAAAATCAATGGAAAAAAAATATTCTGGGGTGAGGGTTAACAAGCCAACAAAGAAAAACAAAACCAAAAAGAAGGGGCAGTGAGGCTGCAACACCAGGCCAGAGCCCAGTCACCTTCGCTGGAACCAGGGCTCCCTCCCTGCCCTGGTTTCAGCTGCTGTCCCCAGAGTGGCTGCTGGCATTGACCCACAGAGAAGCCTCATCGCTTCACTTTTTGGAGACAGCAGTCTCACCCGCGGGTTGAGGCTCTCCTCCCTGGCAGACCTGCGTCAGGGCCATGCATTTTCATGATCCTAACCCTCTGACCTTCAAATCCTGAATCCTGGAAGAAGGCAGAACAGCAGTCATCTATTTTTATAGCCTCCCCCAGAATGGCAAAGATCGGCCTAATTGTCCTGGCAGATTCCATCATTTTTTAGAAGGGTAAGTCAAATGCAGAGAATTTTTTAAGACAATCTGATGAATGCCTTCCTGCCAGGACAAACAGGAAGGTGGCCACGTAGTGCCAACAGCATGTCCAGCCTCCCCAGGCCTGGAGTGGCCTCTTAGGTACGCGGCAAGGAGGAGGCCTCCGAGCGGGCCCTGGCTTGGCTGCCTCCCGGGTGGCTTGGGTCCAGTTCCAACCTCCCGACCCCCAGCGGAGACACTAGCCTGGCGCCTTTGCGCCGGCTGCCTCTCAGGGTCACTGCAAGAACCAAATAAAAGCCCGCAGTGGTTTCCCAGCTGGGGCAGGGCACTAAGCAGGAGCTGGCTGGGCGAGGAGGTGGAGGTCCCGGGCAGAGGGGCAGAGGGGCAGAGGGCAGAGGACAGAGCAGATGGGAGCGTGGGCTGGCTGGGCAGGGCAGGTGGTGTTCATCTCACCCCGATCGCCTCGCCTCCTTCACGGTCCCCCTGGGACCCCTGGGATATGCCTCTGCACCCCTGCCCTGCCCCTGCCACATCTCAGACAAATCTCAGCCCTGAGTCAGAGCTCCTGGTTTACAACTCATATACTGTTATAGCTCAACAACAACAACGGCCACCCTGCAGTACAGCCCAGGGATATAAAGAGTGCTGTGAATTCCCCACCTGTCCTCCTGCCAGAGGGGAGCCCCGTGACAGCTCAGTGGGTTCCCCAAGAGTGAGCATCGTCATATGAATGACATACGACAAAGCAGACCCACTGTGACACCCAGACATGCCATTCGATTCCCTGGAACTGGCAGTGACTTCAGTTCTTTGGGGGAGGGGGTGTCTCTTTAGTTGCTCAATAAGAAACTCAAAATCTCGCATCGCTGGAGGGAGTGGCTGGCGTGGGGGGCCACCTCCGTTCCTCAACCCGGCCTTCAGAGGGCCTGCCTCCCTCCCCTCGGATCCTACTCAGGGCGGAGCTGGGGCGACCTGAGTAGAAAGCAGCCTGGCTGGCCCCGCGCCAGCCCCGCACTCCAGGCAGGAGGCCCACGCTTCGCTCTCCCCAACAAAATAAATCTCACTGCTTCCTCTGAGCGTCTCACACGCATGATCTTCTCCCGATTAACAACCTGGCCAGCATGTTCTTGGCTGCTCGCTGCCGACCCCAATTTAGAACTGTCTGTTGTTTGGCGGCTGGAGAGGGGAGGTGCTGGGGGGGCGAGGCATGCCGAGCTGCGGGGCTGGTGCAGCTGAGGTCTGAGTGTGGGAGGTGGCACTGCTGTCCCAGCCCAGAAGCTAACCAGCATCTCGTGAGCCTGCAGGACTGGCCAGGCAGGCTGCTGCTTTGGGGGCTTTCAAACTGCTTTCCAAGGTGCCTCTGATGAGGAGGGGTGGCGGGTGGGGGTGGGGAGGACGCAGCTCCCACAAAACTGCCTTCGTAACTGGCACTGAACATCGTGGTCACGGCCAAAGCGGCCACGTGTGGGACACCTCTGTGTTGTTGGCAAACTGCTCCTGGGGCACTGCTTGTTGTATTTTATAAAAACCTGACAAACCCTTCCCCTAGCTCCGATTCAGGGCAAGCTTGGGCTCTCCCTATGCCGGGCATGCCTCCGCCTCCAGGCCGGGAGAGCCAGGGGCAGACCTGCCTCCCTCCCTGTGCCTGCCGCCGGGAAGCTTCTTTCTGCCCCGAAGGGTTTCTTTATTTCATTTCCTCTTTGCTACTCACCTTCGAGGGCTGTGGGTCCCCTCAGGCCTGTGCTGTTATCTGCTGAGGCTCCCAGCCCGGGGAAGGAGAGTGGCGGAGCGTGGGGCCTGGAGTCGGCTGCTCCGCCTGAGAGACCGAAGGCCAGCAGCTTGACCTCCCTGACCTCAGACTCCTCCTCCCTGTGAGCGGAGCTCTTAGGCGCTCTGCCTTGGGCGTGACGGGAGATGGGAGCCGTGTGCATAGAGTACTGGGCAGGATACCTGCGCGCCCAGAGTGCATGCGACCCGGGAGAGAGCCAGGGTCCTCCAGGGAGGCCGGGGGTTTGCAGCAGCCCGGAGAGTCAGCCACTGTCTCCTTTTCCTTCCTCTGCAGGAGGGCAGTCGGTGACCCACACTGGCCCCCCCATTTTGGCCTCTCTGGCCCACAAGAGCGTTTCCTTCAACTGCAGCATCACCTACCCATACACCCCACAATTCAAAACCTTCACCGTCAGCTACTTTTATGTGAACCGCCAGGGCCAGGAGAGCTTGGAGGAGCAGACTGGCTGCCAACCCAGCATGGGCCAAGAGAACCAGACCCTCACCACAAAGTGCCTGGTCACCCCCAAGCTGCCCAGTGCGTCAGCCACAGGCACCTACTACTGCTCCGTCACCTGGCCAGGCTTCAGAATGAAAGGCTCCGGCACCTTCATCCTGGTCAGAGGTGAGGCCTCCGCGGCTCTTCCGGGGCAAAGGGCCCAGAGGTTTCATGCAGCAGAGTTTGGGGCACAGGATCTAAAGCGGGGATAGTTTGCCGCATCTCTCAGCTTTGGCAAAACAGAGCATTCTGGGGGAGCCCCTGGCCGAGCGGGTGTGCCGGGACACCCACCTGCGTGTGGAAAGCACAGAGGCCTGGGGTACGGATTTGCCTCTGGCCACCCCTGGCAGGTGACCTCAGGGATATCATTCAGTCCTTTGGTCACAGTGTCCCTTCGGCACAGGTGGGGGTTGGGCATGGGCATGTGTGTTTGTGGCAGCCCGTGAATGAGCACTTGGCTTGAGTACATCTTTTTGGAACAGACTCCTAGTTTTCATCACATTCTCAAAGGAGTGATGAAACCAAAAAATTAAGAACAGCCCATCACCGAAGCCATGGTTCTCTGATCTGCTTCTCCCACTCCCACTAGTAGGGGCCGGGGCTTCGGAGCCCCAAGTCCTTGCCGTGGCCCCAGTCCTGTTGTCTGCCAGGATGTGACCTTGGGCCTGGTCTTCATGGCAGTACCCTGCCTGTCAATGGCTTGTATGGGGATGAGCGACATCCCACCTGCAAGGGCTGAACCTGGCGAGAGGATGTGCTTGATAAGTTACAGACACCGATGTGCCTGGCCTGTGGTCAGCATTCTGCATTTCTTTGCCAGCCAGATGGGTGGGTGGCAGGAGGGAGGGAGAAAAGAATGAATGGCTCAGGGGAAGGGGCTGGGATGTGCCCTTCACCACCACCCCCAGTACCCCTCCCTCTGCCCCATGCAGGCCAGGCACCTGCCAGGCCCAAATAAACCATCCCCTCAGCCTCACCCTACCTGCCCATACGATCACCACTTCGCCTGTGGAGGAGAGGAGGCCCAGGGAGATGAAATGACTCGCCCAGGGCCCCATGAGCGGCTCTCAGTAGAGCCAGCCCTTAATAAGAATCGTGCTCAAGAAGCAAAAGAGCCCTGGCCCGTTTGGCTCAGTGGTTAGAGCATCGGCCCATGGACCAAAGGGTCCCAGGTTTGATTCCGGACAAGGCCAAGTACCACGGTTGCGGGTTTGGCGCATTTGGGGGGCAGCCCGTCGATGTGTCTCTCTCACATCGATGTTTGTCTCCCTCCCTTACTCCCTCGGAAAAGCAATGAAAGAAGCAAAAGAGGTGGTTTCACCTTCACAAATATCGGGCGGCTCACAGGAAGGGGCTTATCCTGAGCGAGTGTGACAGCGAGGACCTCGGGAGGGGTTGGGGTAGTGTTGCGAGGGGTCTTGGGCAAAGGGGCTTAGGGATTGGGGATCTGGGGTTGTGGGGTGGAGCGTCACTAACCCCTCTGCTTCCCTGCCCTCCTCCTAGACACAGGCTACCAAGAGCCCCCAAGGGTCCCCCAGAAGACCCTGTTCTTTAGCTTCATCAGCATCCTGGGCGCCCTGAGCATCCTGGGCACGGTTCTGCTGCTCTGGAAGAAGGTAAGGATGTGCAAGCACCCGGCCGCTGCCCCTCTGCCCCTCACTGTTGCTGGGAACGCCCTGGAGGCCAAGGGGCTGCCTGCCTGCCCTGCAAGGGTGTCCCTGTGGGCCCTGGTGGCTAGATGGACAAGCCTTAGTTCCCCCTCTTTTTTAATGCATGGTTTTTAATATGTTTTTATTATAGAAAGGATGGGAATGGGATAGAGAGAAACATGGATGAGAGAGAAACATCCATTGGCTGCCTCTTGCACACCCCCTACTGGGGATGAAGCCCCCAACCTGGGCATGTGCCCTGACCCAGAATCAAACTGGTGACCTCTTGGTTCATGGGAGGACACTCAGTCCACTGAGCCACACCAGCTGGGCTCCCCCTTTTTAAAATGGGAATGTCCCGCCCACCTTGACAGGCTATTATGAGAATTAAATGAAAATAAGAACAAGTCCCACAGTTCTTTGTAAACAGTAAAGTGTGCCATGGATTCCAGTACTATCTCCCTGTCTGTGAGTCCTACACATTCAAATAAAAGGAGCGAAAACTCCAAGTACCATCAGGTTAATCAGACAGACCTGGGTTCAAATCCTCCCTCTGCCACAGGCTCTGTGGCCTCAGGCTAGTCACTAGCCCTCTCTGAGCCTTCCGTGTCTCACATGTGGAACAGAGATAATATGAAGACTTGTCCTGCAGGTTTATTGAGGGGTGCATGAGACCAGGTGGGTAATGTGTTTAGGGCCCAACCTGGCACCCCATGAGGCCCCATCTTCCCCAACAGTCATCATTGCTGTGACTGGGGGTGGCGCTGGCTCCTGCCTGGGAGTGAAGTAGCTCTCGAGAGCTAATCCCAAGTAAATGGGCTGGGGATTGGCAGGCAGCCAGGGTTTTTAATTAGCTTCTGCCCGGAGATGAGGCTGTTGTTCACTGTTGGCAGTGTGGTGCCTGCGATGAGGGGCGTGATGGGACCGCCTCTGTGGGCTGCCTCCTTGGAAGGAGCTGGCGGTGTCGCCTCCTACTCTCTCTCTGAGCCCTTTGGCTTCCCACTACCCCACCACCCCTGCCTCCACGGCCACCATTAGTGCTGCACGCGGCAGCCAGCATGAGCTTTCTGCAACCAGGTCTGGATCCTGGCACCTCCCACTTAAAGCCCTGTGATGTTTTCCACTCTCCATACTCCACATGTTCCTGCACAGCCATCTGGACTCATCCCAGGCAGGTTCACCCCTCTCTGGCCACACTGACCATCTTGAAGTTAGTTCCACAACACCTTCAGGCTTTAGCACATGCTGTTCCCTCTGCCTTTCCTCCCTCTCTTACCAAACGAACTTCTCAGCCTTCTGGCCGTAAACATCCTTTCCTGCCATATGAGGAGTTTGTTCCCTCCCCGTGCTCCAGAGGCTCTGTCCCCGTGGGTCAGTGCATGTACCACATTTTGGTAAAATGCTAGTCCCTCGCCCGTCTCCCCACTGGGTTCTAAGTGCCAGGAGGACAGGGACGGTGCAGTGCCCATCTCTTCATGCCGCCTGGCTAGCAAGAGGTGCCTGACAAGCGTGTGTTGGTTGGCTGAGGGCCACCTAAGTGCCACCTGAGTACCAAGCGCTTACCTCTCATAACTTCCTTGAATCCTCGCAATGATTTTGCAGAGGAGGGTTATCGATGAAGAACTTGAGGCCCAGAGAGGGGAAGTGGCTTGCACAGGCCATCGAGTCAGGGAGGGCGCTCGGGACTGTGTACTTGGTCCTGTTGGGGTTCGCTCAGCACTGCCCACAGCAGTCAGCTCTGTAACTGGGGACTCTGCAACACTGGCACTGTGCCCTGCAGCCCCTGCCTCCCCTGAGCCAGGCCCCGTGTCTGTGGGCAGTGCCCCGTGGGGTCTTTATCATTTCCTGTAGCTCATCCTGGAGCAGATGAGTGCTTAGACGCAGGCCCTGGAGGCACTTGTCAGGATTCCGTGGAGGGGGTGGGGGAAGGTGCTGAGCGATCAATTTCTGTGTGGCCTCATGCCACCCTGTGCCCTGGCGGGTGTGCGCAGGGGAGGAGATGGGGAGTCGCCTGTGTCCTGCCCAGACAGCCTGACTTGCTTTCTCACAGAAACAGATGCAGGCTTTGTGGAAACACCCCGCCAGGAAGAGCCCGGCGCAGAGCGCGGCCAGCCCCCAGCAGTCCCCTGCTGAGCCCCTCTACACGGTGAGTCCCCGCCTGGCCCCCCACCTCTCAGGCCTGGTGTGGTTCTGGTTCCCTGGCGTGGTCATGCACCAGCTGTGACCTCCCTGAACCTTGAGTTCCTCATCCGTAAACTGGGGACAAGAGGTCCCACCTGCTGGGCTTTCTGTGAAGGTGAGGCCTGTGTGTGGCCCTGCCCCTGGCAGGCGTGCGGGTGTGAGGTGCCCGGGGGGGCCCTCCTGGGCCCGCCCTCTGCTTCCGGAAGGGAGGGTGGCAGGGCAGGAGCTGGTGAGAAATGAGGACAGTTCCTTCATCCCACCAGATGACCAGCTCCCCGGCTCCTTCCTGTTTTTATCGCACAAACAACATCGCGGCAACAGAATCCACAAAAAGAGGAAAAGGTCAGGCACCGGCCCGAGCCCTTCACAGACCAACGACTTTCGATTCTTCCCACGCCCCCCACCACGCACAGACATTGCCTTATACCCTTCCGACCAGGAGGAGCCGCAGGCGGGGACACTTTCCTGTGTGCCCGGGCACCCTCCGTCAGCAGTGGTCTTCCAATCGCCACCCCCCCCGCTGGGTGCACCCACACGACCCGCCACATAGCCCCTGTGCCCAGCGGCCGGGAAGGTGACATTCTTGCGCAGTTACGTCTTAGCCACACATGTAACAGATGCTCGCTGTAGCGAAAGTGGGAAGGGATGCCCCCGCTGTCACCTGGGGTCTGTAGTCTGTGAGATCTAGGGCCGCCAGGTGGAGATCTTAGCTCCACGCCTGGGGAGCAGGTTCCCCAGGGGCGCGTTCTGGGGCTGCCTCCGGCACTGTCACTGGTCCTGTCCCCGCTCCTGTCCCCACCACCCTGACTCACACATGGAACCTGGGTCCTTCCTCGATCTCAAAAGCCCACGCAGAGGGTATTAGAATATGGGCCTGTTTACTAAGGACAGGGGCAGGTGGGGACGTGGCGGGGGCATGGACTCTCTGGGGCGGCGCTGACAGCTCCAAATAGAACAGAACAAGACCAGCTGGCCCAGGGTCTTCAGCCCCTGCACCCAGGGAATTTCTACCAGCCTCGGCTTCCTATGTGGCCCCAGACTTCCCCGTATTCTGTCTTCCCTTCCAGCAACTCATGACGGTGTTTTCCCATGAGGACTTGTGGTGTCAGCTGTTAAATAAAACATTTTTCTCTCTTTCTCTACACGCACGCACACACAGACACACACAGTGACTCACACACACACGTTAGTGCTCTCTCATGTATATATATATCAAAGGGAGAAAATAACCATCATCCTAATTCTATCTTCTTCCAGGATAAATACTAGTACCTTCTAGTCCTTTAAAAAAATAAATAAATACATACAAAGAGACCCAGACAGACATTCACACATGCTTTTTTTTTTTTTCTTTTCTGGAGTAATACAGCTACTTTTTTTTTTTATGTTACACTATCTTGTGAACATCTTTCCATGTGAATAAATATTCTTCTACAAGATTATTTTTGATGAAAGAGACTCACTTTCGCATGGAACACCTTTCTCGCCTGTGTTGAGATTCCTCGGAGGCTCAGGCAGATGTCTCTGGAGTGTGGGGAAGAGGCTCACTGCCCCTCGGGGTTGCAGGGTAGCTTGGAGAGGTTTGAAAACCAGAAAGAAGGTGAAAAGGGAGGCCACGGACTTGGCTAGCCCGAGAGACCAGTTCCCTACCAGCTGGGATTGGACCCGGGCAGATAGGAATGACCTTAACCAGGGGGATTATGATGTCGGGAGCCATTTGTTGAGCACCTACTGTGTGCCAGGCACTGTGGTAGGACTTTCACCCATTAATCCTCACGGTGGGGTTTTAAGATACAGGTGTTGTCCTCGTTTTCAGTTCACTTTCTAAATGTCTATTGGCGATAGGTAGAAATATGATTGATTTTTTATGTCGCCTTCCTACAGAGTGTGGCCTGGCTGAATTCACTCATTAATTCTAATGGTTTCTGTGTAAATTCCTTCGGATTAGCTACGAACCCAGCCATGTCATCTANTATGTTGCCTTTTTACAGAGTGTGGCCTGGCTGAATTCACTCATTAATTCTAATGGTTTCTGTGTAAATTCCTTCGAATTAGCTACGAACCCAGCCATGTCATCTATGAAATTGGAAGTTTTATTTCTTCCTTTCTAACCTCATACTTTATTTTTTTCCTTGCTTTATTGCACTGCTTAAGACCTCTGGCATGACAGTGAGTCGGAGCGGTGACAGCAGGCGTCCTTGTCTTGTTCCCAGCCTCGAGGGAAGGACTTTTGTATATTCCTCCCTCTACTCTCTGTGGATGGATGCTTAGGTTGTTGATTTTCAATCTTTCTTCTTTTCTAATTTATACACTTAGGCTATGAACTTCCTTTTATGTGTAGCTTTAGCTCTATCCCACAGTTTTTCTATTTAATATTTTATTGATTTTTTTTTTTTTTAGAGAGCGAGAGAGAGACACAGAGAGTGAGAGTAAGAGATACATTGATTTTCTGCTCCACTTATTTATGCATCATTGGTTGTTTCTTGTATGTTCCCTGATGGGGGATTGAACCTGCAACCTTGGTCTATGGGGATGATACTCTAACCAACTGAGCTCCCCCCCCCTCCGGGCCTGTATCCCACAAGTTTTGATATGTTGTATTTTTATTATCGTTCAGTATAAATTTTTCATTGAGATTTCCTCCTTGCCCCGTGGGTTATTTNGGGCCTGTATCCCACAAGTTCTGATATGTTGTATTTTTATTACCATTCAGTATAAATTTTTCATTGAGATTTCCTCCTTGCCCCGTGGGTTATTTAGATGTGCTTTGCTTAATTTTCAAATATTTCATTATTTTCTAGTTATTATTCTGAGTGTTTTTTAATTCCTCACGAAATCCACTGTGATCAGAGAATGTGTTCTGTATGATTTTAATCCTCCGAAGTCTTTTGAGACTTGCTTTATGGATCAGCTTATGTTCTGTGTGCACTTGAAAAGAACTCGCATTGTACATGGCTGCAGGAGGGTCTCATGTATGTCAATTACGTGAAATCGATGTTGTGAAAACGTTCCGTATCCTGATTTGTGTGTGTGTGTCTAACAGGTGTTAAGAGAAGTGAGTTAAAATCTGCCCATATGATTGTAGATTTGTATATTTCTCCTTTTAATTATGTTAGTTTTTCTTCTGATTCACGTGGGGAAATGGTCATGATATATTAAGACATGAAAAACACAAAGCTATAGTGCCAATTTGTTTTTTTAACTTTACCTATTAAGCAGCATGGACTTGGAGTGGGTCAGAGGGATGGATACAAAGCCTAGATGCTCTGCTCACGAGTTCTGCTACCTCAACTTTCTGAATCTTGGCTCCATCATCTATAAAATAGGGCTAATAATACAATATTAAATTTACAGCTTGCAGACATGCTATGGTTCCTTCCACCTGAAATTCTATATCTTGGGCCCACATCCCCTTCAAGCAACCCCCTCTCTCCAAGACTCCTCAGAACTGTCTGGAAGCCTATGCTCAGCCTCTCTCTCTCTTTTCCGAAGACCCCGCCAGGCTTTCTGCCCACGTTTTCTGTCTTCTCCAGGTCACCATTGACCTCCACATGGTTAAATCCAATGGTCAGTTTCTAGTCTTCGCCTTCCCTAACAAATCAGCAGCATCCGACACCATGGAGTCCTCCCTCCTCCTTGACATACTTTCTTCACCTGCTTCTGAAACATTCCACTCTCTCCTGATGTCCCCGTGACTCACTGCCACACCTCCTCAGCCTCCTTCGCTGGTTCCTCCCTAGGGACAGGTGGAACCCTGACCTCTAAACATTGGGGTCCAGTCCTGGGACCCTTTCTCTTTGATCTTCACTCCCCTCCTTGGGGGTCTCATTCAGCCTCAAAGTCTTGAGACCATCCACACTCCGGCAGCCCCCAAATTGGTCTCCAGCCCAGACGTCTCTGATGACCAGAGGCAACTCTCTTTGGACATTTCATCAGTTTCCCTCTCAGACCAAACCAGTTCTTTACCCACGGGCGTGCTTTTCTCCACCGTCCCCTTCGCGGTAACTCACGATTGCTCCATCCTTCCTGTTCCGGCTAAAGATCCTGAAGTCATAGTTTCTGTCCCTGCTCATGTCCGATCCATCAGCACATCTTGTCCCAAAGCACATCTGGAATCTGACCCTTCTTGCCCCTCCAGTGCTGATTCTGGTGGAGCCACCGCTTTTTCTTGCCTGGAGTCTTGTGACTGGTTTCAAATCAGCCGGCCTGTTATTACCGTTGCTGCACAGCCTGCTGTCCCCCCGCAGCAGCAGAGCGACCCTGTCCAACCGGACACAGATCGCGACAGCTCTGTGGGAGCCCAGGAGGAGTCTGGTCCTCCGAGGAGCAGACACCCTGCCGGGGTTAGGTGTGCAGTGGTTTCCTTAGGGAAACCAGCGGTGCGAGGAAATGGGGAAGCCCAGGAGAGCCGGCTGACCTGTGCAGGTCGGTCCGAGTGAAGGAAAGGGGGGGGAGGCAGAGGGGAAGCGCCGAGCACTGTGCAGCCTGGGGAGCCCGGCAAGGCCATTGGAGCTCGAGGTTGCAGGAGCCCCGTGTCTCCCGGGCAGGAGGCTGGGATGGCAGCCTTGCATGCTCACCACTGGCGGGGAGCAGTCCATGGAGCGTGTGGCCTCCATGCCCAGCAGCTGGGCCTTTGGTCAGTGCTGACCCCTGGAGTTGGAGGTCTGTGAAACCCATTCTCATGACTGCCACGGTCTCACTCAGAGTAGACATCACAGCCCCGAGAGTGGCCTCCAAGGGCTCTGTTCACGTCCTCTCGCTGTCTCTGCCTGTCACTCACTCTCTCCAGTCACACTGGCCTGCCTGCTGCTCCCCAGACACGCCAGGCGTGACCCCACCACAGGGCCTTGGTGTTGGCGGTGCCCTCTGCTCCAGAGGGTCCTTTCTGTGACTGCCCATGGGGCCATTCCTTCACCCCTCCACTCCTCGGCGCTCTGCTCAGATGGCCCCTTTGCAGCTAGGCCTTTCCTGACCTCCCTTTTAAAACTGCAACCTTACCCTAGCTGGTTTGCTCAGTGGTTAGAGCATTGGCCCATGGACTGAAGGGTCCTTGGGTTCGATTCTAGTCAAGGGCATATACCTTGGTTGTGGGCTCCATCCCCGGCCCCAGAAGGGGTGCGTGTGGGAGACAACCGATCGATGTGTTTCTCTCACATCAATGTCTCTGTCTTCCATTCTCTCCCTCTCTCCCCCCATCCCCCTCAACTCTCTTTGAAAAGCAATGGAAAAAATATCCCCGGGTGAGGATATTTAATATATATGTATATATATAACTGCACCCTCCCCACTCCCTTCATGGCCCAACCTCCCTATCTTCCTGGCCCTCACGGCCACCTTTTACTTTCATGACTGCGGCCTGTCTCATACCACTACCCCCAGCACCAGCCCAGTGCCTAGCACACAGTAGGTGCTCAGCGATCTGCCCTGTGGATGAGTGGAGGACTGTTCTCATCTTCCAGGTGCCTAGGATTCGTGGGGCTCAGTGCTAGGCACAGAGTGGGCACACCGGGGGCGTTGGCATTGTGGTGTCACTTTCCCTCAGCAGCATTTGGACACCTCCCCTCGGCTCCATGCCGCCTCTGTCCCGCCTGGTGCTCTCGCTCCTGCCCTTAGCCTGCAGCCGTCCCGCTCCCCACTGCAGCAGCGGGGACCTGCCTCACACGCTGATGCTGTGGCTTCCCACTCAGAAACCTGCAGCGGCTCCCACTGCCAGCCCCGCAGCCTAGTGCGAGAGGCCAATGCCAGCCCTGCCTCCCCGGACTCCTGTCACCACAGGGGGCTTTTCACCTCAGACATGCCAGGACTGTGACATAGAGCAGGGGGCTTTTTTCCACTGAGTACTGCTCCTTTCTGAGCAGCCCCAGGTCTCACCCCTCTGTCCCTGGCAGGTGCTTATGAGAACGCGACTCTTGTGTTTCCTTGGTCATGGGGCGGGGGGAGGGGGGGATTGCAGGAGGACCGATGTCTAGGACCCTCATATAGGTCTTGGCCCAGGGAAGCTGACTTCAGCTCTGGCCTCAGCCTACCTGGAGGAAGGCCTGGGCATCGACTTCACACCTCTGCCAGGGCTGATGACCATTCGGGTCAGCACCATTGCCCAATTGGCAGCAGGAGGCAAGAGACATGGAGGGCCTGAGTCCCAGGCAAATAGCCCAGCCCAGCCCAGGCTGGACTCAGTACTGGTCCAGCCCAGCCCAGCCCAGTGCAGCCCACTCAGAGGCCTGGGCGTCTTCTCCCACGGGCACACCCTGAGGGAGGCAGGCCTCCCTACCCCCAGGAAGGCCAGGGGGGGTCTGGTTCAGAGCCTCAGAGGCTGTCCTGTGGCCAAGGCTGCCCTGCATTTCAAAGCCTGATGATGAAGGTTGTGCCTGAATGCAAATGCCGCCAACAGGTCAGGACCTGTCAGAGGCTCACTGCGCAGCTGCTAACTGACAGCACCTCTGCAGCCCTCCCTGCCCTCAGCCCCGCAGCTGCTCCTGCCCACAGCACGGCCACCTGCCAGTGTGGGGCAGAGGCCTGCAGGGTCCTGGGGCAGGGTGCACTTCTCTGGCTTGGAGAGCCCTGGCCACATGGGAGCACAAGGAGCTGAGGGCAAGAGGCCTGAGTTCCAATCTTGGCTCCACCACTGAGGGGCTGTGTGACCTGAGACATCTCTGGGCTAATGTGTGGCGGTTAGCCCATGTGAGCTGGACACATGGGAGAAGGGAGCCACCAGGGACCCCCAGATCTGTTCCCCTGCCGAGATACCAGCAAGGAGGCCCTTTTCCTCCCTTCTGTGACCAGAAATGCCCAGCCTGGAGGGGCTGTCAGATCTGTGGAGATCCAGGCCTGGGTGGGGCACAAGACTATTGAGGGGCAGATCACTTTCTCACTTGCCAGGCTTGCGGGTGGTGGCCGGTGCTTTGGGGAAGGGTGACGACCTGGTGGGTCAAAGCAGGCCTTGGAAGTTGCCTTCCACTGGAAATGAGGCTCCTCCTTGGGGCGGCCCTGACAGTGTGAGCAGTCATAGCTACCTCTGGGCACAGTGCAGTGTCTACACTGGCCCGTCAGGCAGAGAGAGGGTGTTAGGCTTCTGGCTGCCCCCAGGCCGATGTTGGCTTAAGTCAGGAGCTGGAGTCTGAGCTGGTGCCAGCCTGGGCTGCCCTGTCAGGGCTCCTTTATCATCATGCTGGTGGCCCCTACCCAGAGGGAGGTTGGAAGCCCCTCTCCCAAGACCCACCCTCTTCCTGACTCAGAGGCCCCTTGGGCTGGCCCCCAGGACCACCTTGCTGTCACTGTGAGTGATGCCCTTGAAGTGAGGGTCTCCCACGAGCCAAATGGTTTATTACCCGGTTTTCATGCCCCGCTACCTCTCGGTGCCTCCCCCTCCCCTCCGCATCCCCCCTTCTTGCCTCAGAGCACCACCTGTCTCTCCAGCCTGCCTCAGCAGCCCCTGCTTGCCTGTTGCCAGGGAAACCGCCTCCTTGGCAACCAGCCGGAATCCCTATGACATGTACATGTGGGAAGGAAAGGTTCTTGCTTAGGCTATTGGTGGCTCTGCTCTGACAGTCCCCAAACAGGGCCCAGGCTGTGGCCACTGAAAGGGGAGGGAGATGTCGAGTCCTTTGATGATCCTTCAACTGATGATGTTTCAATGCTTATTAAACATCTACTATTTTCCAGACCCTATGCTGGGCTGTCATGCACAGTATCTCATTTAATCATGCACTGAGCCTGCAAAATAGATGTAATTATTCCCATTTTACAGGTGAAAAAACTAAGGCACAGAGAGGTTCAGGGGTTGCCCATGGCTGGCAGGTATTGGAGTTGAGTTGAACCTAGTCTTGTCTGATTTCAAAGCCCCGGTTCTTTCTACCATCCTGAGGTCCCTGGTCAGGTTGCTCATAGCTGGGCTAAGAGTGCGTATGGCCCCAGAACACCCCCCCCCGGTGAGCAAGGAGCCCCCTCATCGCGTCCTTTGGTGCTGTTCTCCAAGTGTGCCAAGCATAGCTGAAAGGGAAGGGAGATGTCAAGAGTCCTTTGATGGAGGGAGGGCTGCTGGCTTCGTTCACAGGCTCAGAGGCCCACAGACAAACCAGGGACAGCTTGATGGGAGAGAAATGGGTACCCAGGTCATCTGTGAGTGCTGGCTGGGGTGGGGTCAAGGGAGAGCTAGAGGGTGTAAGTGGGTGGGTGGGACCCTCACAAGGCAGGGGTTTGGGCCAGGGGAGTAAGGGCGGATGTCAGGAGGGCATCGTTGCAGCTATGGCCACGAGTGTCATGCTGGGGTCCGCTGGCTGCAGCCTTGAGGTGGTGTGAGGGAAGTGGCAGGGAGCAGAGAAAGGAGTCACACTTTACAAGCAGGAAAGGAGTGAGGTGGCTCCCAGAGAGGGAATGGCAGGTCCACAGGTACAGCAGTGTCACTGGGCCCGGCATAGCTGGGTGAGGCGGGCGTCTTCTCCCAGGCTGTGGCCCACAGGGTCCTGCCTGTCCTCTGAGCTCCCACAGGCTGCTGGGGCTAGGCCCTGGCCCTCTGTTCACGGCCCTCTGACCCTTGTGCCATCTCCTGCAGGCCCTGCAGCGCCGAGAGACTGAGGTGTACGCCTGCATGGAGAGGGAGGACAACAGCCCCCCCTCCAGGAGGACCTTTCTCTCCCAGGTAAGCAGGGCGTGGGCAGCCAGCCTGGCCCTCCCGTAATTCCATCTGACCCTCTCACTGGGACACGGGGGTAAATAGGACCGCAGAGTGAGCCTCTGCTGGTTCGTCGGAGCCCTCTCCGAGGCAGGTGGCCGAGTGTTGAGAGCACTGGTGGGTTGGAAGCCCTGCTCCACCCCTCACCAGCTGGGCAGCCTGGGCCAAGGGGCTGCGCTCTGTTCTCGAGTCTCCTGTCTGTGACCTGAGGAGCCGAGCAGCACCTACCTCTTAGATGTTCCGTGAGGACCCAATGTCGTAGTGGGACTCAGTAGGCTCTGTGCAATGTGAGCTGTCGTAGCTACCATGGGCACAGCGTAGTGTCTACACTGGCCAGTCAGGCAGAGGGTGTTGGGCTTCTAGCTGCCTCTAGGCTGATGTTGGCAAAAGTTGGAGCAGGAGCCTGAGCTGGTGCTGGCCTGGGCTGGCCTGTCAAGGCTCCCTTACTGTCATGCTGGGGGCCAAGACATTTCATTTAATCCTGATTCTCTTTTAAACCTCAGTTTGCTCATCTGTAAAGTGGATGAGTGACACTTGGCTGCAAAACCAAGTGCCCTGAATTCAAATGAGTTCCAAGTTAAGTAACATCTACAACAGAGATTTGGACTTCATAAAACTCAAGAGGCTGTTAAGCAGATATAGGAACCCATGGGTGGTAGGTAGGCCCATGGGCACCTTGGAAGAGCCATCAGGAAGTGAGGGAGGCTGGTGCTTGGTCTCCTCCAGTCCAGGGGGCCCAGGCTGGCACTGTTTGGTGCATCTCCTATTCTCAAAGCCCAGAACTAAGCCTTGACTAGAAGCATGGCTTCCCCATCCTGGGACACCCCCCTGCAAAAGATGTCTGGGCCATTCCAGGCAGTACCCACCCTGTGCCACGCCTTAGGGTGCTGACCAGGATGCTAAGACATGTTCCTGCCCTCCAGGAGCCTTGGGGCTGCAGAGACAGGGTCACGGACCCGGCAAACACAGAGACATTTGTGGCCCTGCCTGAGAGGTGGGCTCTGGAGAGGAACAGACCCGGGCTGGGGAGGGGGCTCTTGGGGATGCTGAACAAGCCCTGCAGGGTGACTAGGAGGTTTTGAGGGTACAGATGGGGTCAAAGTAACAGCCCAGACAGAGGGAAGAGCAAGTGGGGAGGCCCCAAGGCAGTAAAGGGGAGGCCTATGGGGCAGGAGGGTGGAGAGCAGGGGTGGGATGAGTGGTGAGAAAAGAGGCTGGCAAGGTGGGCCTGGGGACAACAGGCTTCCCTGTCACAGCTATGCAGGAAGCCATCCATTTGTTTGCCTCTGATTAAAACTAAATTAGTGCAAGATGCTCTTCTCCCTACCTATTATTTTTAATTTCTTTTTTTCCCCCCAGGAAAATCCGCATATATTTCAGAGTGACAGTGAATTTAACCTGGTCTATGAAAATCTCTAGGATGAGCTCCACCTGCCCAGGGGTCTTGCTCTGGGTCAGAGGCCCCAGGGCAGCCCCACCCTCCAGAGGACTTGATGGGGACCAAGAGTGAGGCCCCAGGGGCGCCCCATCACTCACCCTCACATTCTGGACCCTTCCTGCCTCGGCCTGCACCCACCCCAAGTCTGCAACCAGGAGCACCCACCGAGTGTTTCTCATCTCCAGGCCTTTGTCTGAGTTGTCCCCTCTGCCGGGCAGGCCCTTCCTCAGTCCTGAAGGGCTCTCGTGGCCCCCACCCACTCCCAGAGCCTGCCTGCCCCTCGGGGCTCTCTTGGCACCAGCCTGTACCACAGCCTACAAGGCTGACTGGGAGCTCCTGAGGAAGGAGCTGGCCAGGGACCCTCAAAGGACCCTTGTCCGTGCTGTGTGCACGCGAAGTGGACGAATAAAGAAGCATCTGTGCAGATGAGCCCCCGTCTGTGCCCCCCACCCAGCTAGGCCAGCGGCACAAGGTGGCCACACAAGGTGAAGCCTGGGGCTGGCATGGAAGCGTGGGGCGTGGGGAAGAAGGAGCCACGCAGAGCTGGGGGCTGAGGGCTGGGGCTGGGGCAGGGCCGTCTGGGCACACTCTGCTGGGGAGAGAGATCCAGCACGTCCGAGCAGGGGAGGGGGAGGTGCTCCTGACCAGGAGCTCAACAACCTGGAGCTCTCTGGCCCCCAGCAAGGACCCCAAGGCTGTCCCCCCTTTCCCCAGCCCTTTATACCCACTGTGACAGCTGTTTTGTCACCCCCTGGGCCTCAAGCCTTCTCCACCTTGGGCCTCAGCTGCTCCTCCTTCCACCTTAAGGCCCGGTTCCCCAAAGCCCCCTTTATCTGGCCATCCTGACCCCACCCACCTCCTCTGTCTTTATGCCCAGCCAGGGCCCCCTGGGGATGGAGGACAACCGCTTCCCGCCTGGTCCTGGACCAGTCCCAGCTGCCTCCAGGCCATCTCTCTCCATCGTGGTCTAGCTACATGGTCTGGTGCCTGGGGCTTCCCCCGGGGGGGTGGAGGGGTCCCTTCATGTTGCAGAACCTCAGACCCTGAGTGGGTGGCCCCACAGTGCCTGTCCCTGTGCCATTTCGGCTACTCCAAGCATTCACATCACCCCTCATTTCAACACCCCCCCCAGCAGCCCCTCGCTGAGTGGCAGGGTCCAGCTCACCGGGGCTGTTGGGCTCTACCGGACCTATCCCTTGGCTTTCTGTTGTTTTCTCATTTATAAAATGGACAAGCCAATCCTCCTCTCCACTCCAGCTGCCCAGAGGTCCCTGAGGTGCCCTCACACACAAACCCCAAATGTGTATGGGAAGAGTGGGGGTCCCCGACCCTGGCAGCACAGGCCTGAGGGTGCGCATAGGCTGACTTCCAGGAGGTGCCCCTCCCCTCTGACAGGGTGACACTGAGCCTCCCTGGGCCCACAGGACAGTCCACGGCCTCCCAGCTTGGTCCCGGGCCGGGCCTGCAAGCACACAGCAAGGCGGCTCTGAGCTGGATTACAAGGCTGAGTGGAGAGGCCTCTGCTCCCCGGGAGGCTGCAGTTGAGTGAACTCTGCCTGTGTAGCAAGGCAGAGCTTCCTTGAGCAGGACTGGCCAGGTTCCTGACTCCCACAGCCTGAGGCAGCGGCCAGGGTGGGGCGTGGGAGGGTGGGTGAGGGGTGCTGCTCAGGGTGCAGTGAGCCTCCCCCAAAAACCCAAAGCCAGCAAGACCAGGAAGAGACCACTTCACTGGGCCCGGGTCTCTTGTCCTCAGCTGCTGGACCCCAGACCATCTGGCTGGGAACCAGCCTTTTCCAGTTGGCCCTAGGGGTAGAGAAGGGAGCCTGGCAGGGTTGCCCCGATGCCCTGGCCCAGGCCCCAGCGAGGCTGCCCTGCCCCCACACTCTTCTCCACGTGGGTCCTGTCCCTCCTTGTGCTCCAAACCTTCCACAGTCCCCACCTCACTTGGAACAAAGTCCCAACTCCTCCCTGTGGCTTGTGCGGCCCTCAGGGACCAACCAGTCACCCTCTTGCGGATGCAGACATTGCCAGCGTGGTATCGGAGCCTGGTGCAGGGCAAGGCTGTGGAGCCAGGAGGTTTTAATGTGAGCAAGGACAGGGGCAGGGAGGAAGAGGAGGGGTCAGGGTGGGAGGGACGGACCCTCAGAGGGGCTTTGACCCGGGGGATGGTGGGAGGAGAGTGTTCTGGGACTTCCGGTGTGGAGCAAAGAAGCCTGAGCACCTGTTCCCCACCCCCCAGGACTGAGAGCCTATGGAGATGGGCTGGTGCAGGGGTGAGGGGTGGAAGATTACCCCAGGGGGTGCAAGAGGGGACAGATTGCTCCTGACAGGCAGGCCCGGGTGTGGCTCTGAGTGGGTGGAGGGGAGGAGAGAGAGCAGCTACCCTTGAGGGTTGTTTTGGGGCTGGGTAGCTGCCTGCCTCCCCAGTTCCACCTCTCAGCAGCCAAGCCTGCTTGAGCCTGGGTTTCGGTGACAATCCAGACCACTCAGCTGCTCAGAGAGGACAGATGGGGAACCCTCTGCTCTGCACCGGCTCAGTGGGGGTGCCTGGTGTGCGTTTCCTTCTCTGCTAACCCTTCAGGAAAAGCGGGCTGCCAGGAGGCAGAGTGGAGGGGATCTGCTAAATGGGGGGCAGGCCTGGGGCAGGGACCCAGGCTCTGTGGCTGCCCTCGCAGGGAGCACCTGGTGGGGGGCAAGGCAAGCAGNCACGTGGGTCCTGTCCCTCCTTGTGCTCCAAACCTTCCACAGTCCCCACCTCACTTGGAACAAAGTCCCAACTCCTCCCTGTGGCTTGTGCGGCCCTCAGGGACCAACCAGTCACCCTCTTGCGGATGCAGACATTGCCAGCGTGGTATCGGAGCCTGGTGCAGGGCAAGGCTGTGGAGCCAGGAGGTTTTAATGTGAGCAAGGACAGGGGCAGGGAGGAAGAGGAGGGGTCAGGGTGGGAGGGACGGACCCTCAGAGGGGCTTTGACCCGGGGGATGGTGGGAGGAGAGTGTTCTGGGACTTCCTTCCGGTGTGGAGCAAAGAAGTCTGAGCACCTGTTCCCCACCCCCCAGGACTGAGAGCCTATGGAGATGGGCTGGTGCAGGGGTGAGGGGTGGAAGATTACCCCAGGGGGTGCAGGAGGGGACAGATTGCTCCTGACAGGCAGGCCCGGGTGTGGCTCTGAGTGGGTGGAGGGGAGGAGAGAGAGCAGCTACCCTTGAGGGTTGTTTTGGGGCTGGGTAGCTGCCTGCCTCCCCAGTTCCACCTCTCAGCAGCCAAGCCTGCTTGAGCCTGGGTTTCGGTGACAATCCAGACCACTCAGCTGCTCAGAGAGGACAGATGGGGAACCCTCTGCTCTGCACCGGCTCAGTGGGGGTGCCTGGTGTGCGTTTCCTTCTCTGCTAACCCTTCAGGAAAAGCGGGCTGCCAGGAGGCAGAGTGGAGGGGATCTGCTAAATGGGGGGCAGGCCTGGGGCAGGGACCCAGGCTCTGTGGCTGCCCTCGCAGGGAGCACCTGGTGGGGGGCAAGGCAAGCAGCGTGAGGCCTGTGTGTGGCCTCAGGAGGGGCTGGAGAAGAGCAGCAGTAGGGAAAGTGCCTCAGGGAAGGGAGCCTGGTGGCAGACAGGTGAGACCCAGGAGGGGAGCCTTGGACCCTAAGGGCGGATGGCCGCCAACCTGCCGGTGGCCCCTGGACCTAGAGCTGCTAGGAGTGGCCCCAGGCAGCCCTAAGGGCCAGGCCTCGCGCGCTGCTTCCCCCGCCTGCCCTCCAGGCCCAAGGCCCATCGAAGAGGGGCCTCAGAGGATGCTCCTCTGCCTGGCATTTCCCACCGGCTCCTCCTAGGTCACCCCCTGCCACCTTCGTCAGAGCCTCAGGGCATCTGAAACATTGCACTTACTTCTGATTCCCTCAGCTCGGCCTCCACTGGCCTCTGCAGGGCAGCGGCTTAGAAATGGCTCATTCTGCCCCTGCCTCTGCCCCTGGGTTTCAGCCTCCAGCCCTCCCTCTGCCCCTGCTCCCCTCGGCACTCGCCGGAGAAAACCATCCTTAGAAACCAAACTGCAGAGTGGGTGTGGGAAGCGGTGGCCCCTCCTGGGCAACAATTTCCAGAGGATTCTGCGAAGCAGAGTTTCCATGGGAACACGTGTGGTTGCACAGGGAACCCCACCTTCACAGCCAACACCGAGGGACCGTGGCAAGGGGCGGGGGGCTGCTCTGCCAGGCACAGCCACAGCTTTTTGGCCACCAGCCCTCACTAACCTGAAATCAAGTTACAGTCAAATTTGCCTTTTTTTTTACATTCTAATTTAAAGGCTACGCCGCACTCTAAGGATGCCTCTGGGGTTTCCAGGATGGATTTTTATGTAGTTCAATAGTTTTCTTGGCAGACTGCTCAGCCAGGAGAGGTAGGCTGTGGCCTCAGCCCAGCCAGGCTGGGGAGTGGAGTCTCTCTGTCCCTCCTGGATTCCAGGGGATGTCACTTGTCCACCTGAGGGGCTTCCCATTTTTGAATTCAGACTCCAAGAGTTGGGGGCATCCGCATGAGGCACTGAGACACCTTCGTTCCTAGGCTGCCCTGAGCTCAATCATAACCTCAGCCTCTGAGCCTTGACCTGGCCTGGGTCAGGCCCTGCTCTCTGCACCAGGCGTTAGCATGTTGTTGTTTTTTAATTATATTTTTATAATTATTTTATTTATTTATTTATTTATTATTTATTTATTTTAAATATATCTTTATTGATTTCAGAGAGAGGATGGGAGAGGGAAGGAGAGAGATAGAAACATCAATGATAAGAGTCATTGATTGGCTGCCTCCTGCATGCCCCCTACTGGGGATCGAGCCCGCAACCTGGGCATGCTCCCTGAGCGGGAATCCAACCATGACCTCCTGGTGCCCAACCAACTGAGCCACAACGGCCAGGCAGAACGTATTTTTTAATGTGTGCATCTGTGCAGATGAGGTGGGCACATTTTACAGTAAAACAAACTACAGCAAAGTGAAATTCCTTTTGATGATCTTGCCACCTCGGTTCCTCCATCCCAGCCCCTTCTCCGGAGGTGACCACTGAGTCATTTGGGTGTGTTTTCATCTGGGCTGTTTTTATTGCATGTACATACATATATGCACATATACAAACATGAGATATACAGCCCTTGTGTGGGGTTCTGAAAAGCTTAAGTGGCAGCCTTCGTAGGTGTGATTGGCGCTCGCTTTGTCCACGCATCCCCACCTGGTGAGAGTCTGCCCGTGAGAGCACATCAGAGCTGCTGGCCTCTGCTTGCAGCGAAGGGTTCCAGGACAGGGCCCAATTTCATCAGACTCCTGCAATGGCCTTTGGTGTTGTTCACAATTTTTCAACGTCACTGCGGCGGCTGCAGGGAACATCCTTGGGCATACCTGCAAACCCGTCAGGGTGTGGACGTGTTTTCACAGGAAC